TTCACCAACTTCAACTGAATTTTTTGATAACTTGCAGCAATAAAAATCAAAGCAACTTAGTGAAATGGTAACTGGCTTTTTGTGCTTCATAGTGATTGAAATGCTTATAATCTGTTTCGGAAGGCCTGTTACAAAGTTTCTAAAATAGAACCAGTATAACAAAACTTGCCTCTGGAAATAGATACAAGATTTTTTTTTTTTTTTATTTTTCTTTTTTTTTTTTTTTTTTTTTTTTTCTCTTTCAGGACTGAAGAAAACGTCTTGTTGAAAAAAATAAACAGGAATAATTAATAATAAGACAAGCAAGAAAAGCCTAACTTCAATTTGTTTTTGTTTTTATTTTTACTTCTGCTTTAATGTGCCCTGTCATGTGGAAGTTTAACAACAGCAAAGGGAAATATTTGGTGCAATACACATGCAGAGCACTGTAAGTTCAGATGCTAAGATGGTCTTTCAATTTTTATTTCCTAGTTTTTACTTTAAAAGTTGTAAGAAATCCTGGTTTTTGAGAGCAAGGGGCTAATAGCACTTCCTGAGCCTGGCACAGGAACAAATCACATTATCTGTCCTCATGAGAACAGTCTAATTAAGCACAACAGGAGTCCTCATGTGGACATGGTAAAGCAAGCAGTATTTTGATGCCAGTGCAGCAGATAAATGAAAATTCTTTAACTTCTCCCAATCTGGCTTGGTCCTGATCTACATTGCCCAAATGTCTACATTTTGTTGATGTTCAAGATTTAGTGTTAATCAAACACATTACAGTACAAAACAGGTAGTTATGTTGTTTGTATCCAAGAGTCTGCCTTCAAAAGCTCATTTCTCCAAGCTTTTTCCATTGAATAGCTACATAAGCTTTTTATCCCCCCATCTATTGCTACAAATTATTAAAAATTCAAATGAAAATGGATGTAAAGCTTTAAGCACTCAGTTGTTAGCTTTATTTTCTCATATGTTTGTTTGTTGCAAACATAGGAAATAGATACATGTGTTTTTGTTTCCTCAAATTATACTCTAGTCTACCTCTAGCATTCAGGGAGTATATGCTAAGAAAATTTAAAGAATATCATGAAATAACCCTTCTATCATCTATTACAGGTGGTGCAACAGTACTGCTGGGACCAAAGGCATTGTCTTCTCTCATTTCAAGTGTTGTGAAAGGTACAGAAAGGGATGAGATCATATGTTTGCATCAGTTTTGCCTTAGTGAGCAATCCTTCCACACATGCTGCCTCCTGCCACACCTCTCTGGACCTGTTTTCAATGTCTGATCTTGCAAGCTGAAATGAAAATGTTATAATTATGCAAATATTGGGATCTGCTAATGCAGAACACCCCGCTGGGCTCGGAACCTACCAGCCACCTCAGAAGTGGAACTGTCACTGACAAATAGACATTGTCTTCGTGGGGAATATGTCAGTATCAAAGAAAAGAGACAAATACCATATTTAAAGGAAATAATAATTTTCTGTAGCCTTTCTAGTGTATGTACTCTTATCTTAATTTTTCAGTCTGATGAGGTATTAGAATTAGAAGGAAATGGCTGTGAGACCTGGTGCTATTCAGCCTGGATAAGACACTGAAAATAAACAGCAAAGCTACTACAGGGCTAAGATTACTGTTACAGATTTGTTGTTCTTTCAGATTGCCAGTGCTACAATAATGTTCACAAGAGCTGATGAATAGCTCACCTCAATGAAAGTTTGCTTACCATAAACTAACACTGTTGATTAGAGAAGACAGCTACCTCTAAATGGTGTATTAGCTTAGAAAAATAAAGACAACATGATTTTGTAAAAAAAAAAAAAAAGAAAAAAAAAAGAAAAATTATAAAAGCAAATAGAAGTTTAAGAACTAAAAGAATTCCCTCCTACTAAACATAATGTTGGAAATTCAGCTTCCTTTAGCACACATTCCTTTCTGGTACTACACATGGCATATTATGTGATTTTAGCAGAGGAAACAAGTCAGTCAGTTCTATTTTAGTCCAAGTACTGAAGTGGAAATTATATAATGAAGGATTTTGTGAATACAACTTCTAAACAAACTCATGATTGCAACTCTATCAGAAATTCACTGTGGAGGAATGCAATGATAGTTGTATATAGAAAAGTTGTAATAATGAATTACCCTAGCATTAAGGAACATGTGTAAATCATGGAATCTTCCAGGAATAGCATGAGGTATAAAATGGATAAAATAGATATCAAGCCATATTTTGTTATCCCAATTTCCTAGAGAAAGGAAGCTATTTTTGGTTGTGCTATTGGCCCATCTATTCTATCACAAAGACAAGCAAAAGGACCCTGAACAAAATTAAAGCAAATTCAACAGAGTAACAAATTTATTCACAATTTGTACAAGTTGATAAGTAGACAGTGATCCACATTTATATACCTATCAGTAGAAAAGCAGTTATAACTTCATTGCATACCCATTTACCAGCAGCTTGATCAGTTATATCAAGAAAATTTGTCAGTGTATCAGCCAACAAGAAGCTTGCAACTGAACATGCTATTTGTGGAAATATACTCTGCAAAACAGACCTAGATATGGGAAAAACAAATGGGAGAACTGTTGGGTTTTGTCCAAAGCAAAATTTACTGTATGTCACATAGTTCTATGTTTAAGTTCTATTATTATTATTTTTTTAAATAGAAGACATGCACTCATTGTGGCCTTGCAGTACTTGAAGGGAGCATATAAACAGGAAGGGGGAAAGACTGTTCATGAGGGTGGATAGTGACAGGACAAGGGGGAATGGTTTTAAACTGAGACAGGGGAGGTTTAGGTTAGATATCAGGAGGAAGTTTTTCACACAGAGGGTGGTGACGCACTGGAACAGGTTGCCCAAGGAGGCTGTGGATGCCCCATCCCTGGAGGCATTCAAGGCCAGGCTGGATGTGGCTCTGGGCAGCCTGGTCTGGTCAACCAGACCCTGCACATAGCAGAGGGGTTGAAACTCGATGATTACTGTGGTCCTTTTCAACCCAGGCCATTCTATGATTCTATGATTCTAAATGACTCTATTCTGAAATTTTCCAAAATATTTGCATGCATACTTACATAACCTAAGTTTACACTTCTGCTGTTTAAACTAAGATGACTGGCTCAGTATTTAGGCAATTAGTTCCATATGTATTCAACTTCACTAGTTCTGTTATGGGGCTGGTGGAAAGGAAACCTTTGGCTCCTCCAGGAGCATGTGAGAAATTAGAGCATACCTTCACAAAGGTTGGTTGCTAGGGGATGGCAGCCAATTGCAAAAGAATTTCAAGAAAAACTTGGTGCTTTATCTCCCATAACAAATCTTCTGGGTTTTCTCTCCATCTTTCTGTAGCTTTCTGAAATCATATTGTTTCCAAAACTCCCAGGTAACCACTATTTTAGTCATGTCTGTGTACCTGGTCTATGTGCACCGTCAAACACCTACAGAGCTTGCAAAAATATGTATGTAACATACTGCATTTTACAAGTATGTAGAGCTAATGCCTCCAATGGCACAGAGGTGAGGTCTTCTTTGTCCAGAGATGTTGTAGATGCCCCATTCCTGGAGGTGTTCAAGGCCAGGTTGGATGGGGCACTGGGCAGCCTGAGCTGGTGGCTGGCAACCCTGCTTGCAGCAGGGGAGTTGGATCTTTAAGGTTCCAACCTAAGCTGTTCTGCAATTCTATGATTCAGTGATTCTCCTGGTAGAGCTTACAGCAGCTGTTGTAATCCTTGAGGGTGCACCAATCAAGTCCTGCTGATTCACTGTGTTTGTACAGTTTGTTGTCTACAGGAGGACTGACACTCCTGCCAAACTCCCCAACTTTGGTTAGAGACAGAATGAAAGGTATTCTGTGACCTGGGATCAAGATTTGTTGTAAAATTTAACTTTGTGATTACAGTTGCTACAAAGCCAAAACAGAATGTGTTTGTGAATAGGGATGGATCATCTCCAGCACATGTAGAGGAAATATATACAGTTTTATTCAAGCCACTATTTGAATAATTTAAGCCTTTTCAAAAGATATCAAAAGTGCTTCTCTTTCTCTGATGTAATACCACAAAGGATTGAAAAAATGCTCGTTGGCATCACTGAAACTAAGGGACTCGATAAAACCACTACTGATTGGAGGTCTCCACGTGTAACAGCACAACTGAGAACCAGAAGTAAGAAGAATGAGTAAGAACAAGAAGAAATAACACGAGAAACAATAGAAGCTTTGCACTCATACGCTCTTACCACACAGCAGCTTGGAATTACTGAGAGAAAGGCACGGCAGCCACTACTGAGGCTGCAAAACACTCGAGGTGCCCAGCAGGCCGGCTGCCCCAGAATCCCGGGACGGCCGCCCACCGCCACAGCCCTGCGATCATCCCTCCCGCCAGGGGGCGCCCCGGAGCGGCGGGGTCGGGTCCGAGTCTTGGGTCGGGGGCGGCCCCGCGTGATGGCGGGCGAGCGGGCGTCTCCCTGCCGCTTCGGGCGGCGTTGCGTAATCCCTTCAGGGCGGAGGGCGTCGGCACACGGCTGCCGACCCGCTCCTCGGCGCGGCTCCGCGCACCTGCTCACCTGTCCCCGGCCGGCTGCGGGGGCCCTGCCCGGCCACTCCCCTCAGCGGGCTCGGCGCAGGCGCTCTAGCCGCTACCGCAGGCAGGGGGCGGCAACATGGCGGAGTGAGCGGCGGCGGTTCGGCTCCACAACAACAGCGGCGGCAGCGATCGCTCCCGCCTCCGCCGGCTCTACGCGCCGCTCGCCTCTGCCGGGCCGCGCTCGGCGGCTCCCGCTCTTCCCGGCCCGCGGCGGAGAGGCGGCTCTGGCCGGCGGGCTGCGGCTATAACGGGGCATCGGCGCCCATAATAATCCCTCATTATAGCGGAGCGGGGGAGCGGCTCCTGGGACGGTGCCCGCGCCTCGGGCCGGCTCCCTGCGGCCCCGCCGGCTGCGGCTGCGGCGGATGCTCGGCTCGGCCCGGCCGGGCGGGGAGGCGGCAGGTGCCGGTAACGGCGGGGGGTAGATGGCGAGCGAGAAGTCGGCGGCGGGGCCGGAGCCGCAGCCCGCGGGACTCATCTCCGTCGGGGCCGGCGGCGGAGGCGGCGGCGGAGGCGGCGTCGTGGCGATGGGGGAGCCGAGGGCGTCGGGCGCTGGCTCCGTGGTGCTCCCCGCGGGGATGATTAACCCGTCGGTGCCGATCCGCAACATCCGGATGAAATTCGCCGTCCTCATCGGACTCATCCAGGTCGGCGAGGTCAGCAACCGGGACATCGTGGAGACGGTGCTGAACCTGGTAAGCGGCCGCCTCCCCGCCCCGCTGCCGGCTCCGGACGCCGGCCGTCCCGCCGCCTGCCCCGCGCAGCCTGAAACGCCTTCGCGAGCTCCGCGCTCGCGGCCCCTGTGCGCGCGCGGCCCTTCTCCAGCCCCGGGCAGGGCGCCCTTCCTGCCTGGCTCCTCTCGCACCTCTCCTTCCTCTGCATGGGCAGAGACCCCCGGCGCTGCCCAACTCTCGGCAGGACCCCGCGCCTCTGGCAGGGCCCCCGTCCCCTTCCCACCGCCTCCTCTCCCGCGGGAGAGCGTGCCCTTCCTAACGGATAAAAATAAGGCGATCGAGTCGTTAGCAACTTCAGGTTCTGGGTGCTGCCGTGTAACCCGGTGACTTCCTCCTTGGAAGAAGAGTGGTGTGAATGTAGCGTCTGTTTCTAATTGAAAAAGGTTAAGCGAGCAGCCCAAGCTGCTGTCTTTTCTTAGTGGCTGACACATGTGAAGGGTTTAACCCTGTGAGCTCGGAGCTAGGCGAGTGTTTTGTGCAGAGGAAGAGGAGGAGGGAGATTTTCGTGTGGGTTTTGCACGCTTTTATATGTGTAATAAAGAGTTAGTTGTGTTGCGGTGTTGTATTGGGTTGCTCGTGTCTTAATAATCTGTCACGCTTTCCCAAACGCTTAATTACCTACCTGCAAATTAAGCGTTGTTGCTAAATTTGTGTAATGTCTGTGTGGTGCAAAATGTTATTGTATGTTGATAGGTAGCTGGAAAGGAGAACATTGGTGAAATGTAGCTCCGTAGCCATCTGCTCACTTCATGGAGTGAAAGAGTTACTGCAGGACTGTATGACTTAATGTTTTTGCGCTACCTACACCAAAGCCTGAGGAACCTACAGAAGCCAAACGAGTGGATCTAAAAATGAATCACTTTCAATTATGTGCAATTTGGTGCTGCTCCTGAATGCAGGATTTGCTGCAGCAAAGCTTTTGAAGCAGTTCAGTCAATGAAATATCCTCTGCTTTTGCGTGTAAAATAGGATAGAAAAATGACTGCTCAGAACTGAATGGCAATTAATAGGAACTGCCTTTGTTTCAAATGAGTTGAATGCTTGTAACCTATCCTCATTTTGCAGAAAGTCGTGTAAAGAATATCTTTTGTTTCCAGTACTTTAAAAGGATGTATTCCTCCGTTTGTGTGATAGCTATTTGCATTTGACCTAGCACAGATTGAATGGGAAAAGCTGCAGCATGCAGAGAAAGGCATGATTTGGTCACATTGTTTTAATATTTATGGCTTAAATGAATGCACAGGGTTAAAACTCTTGGTAGTTTTGTGAATTTGTCAAAATGGTAATCTCATATTTCTCATTTGTCTCTACAAACAGTTTGACACTCAACTGAAATATCATTTTAAATACATATTTTTGTATAACTGTAGTACAAGTCATCATAACTTTATTGGGTTTTACCCATTCCTTTAAAAGTAGCACCCAAAATAAGGGAATGACATTAACTTATTTCATTAAGTACCTTTGTGTACATCATGACGGATACTGATCTTTAATCTTTTCACAACAACCTTTATTCTTACATTCTACTTAAACATATTTAAGCTTTCTTTGATTCTGACTATCATTACGTCAGCAGCTAGACTAACATTGGCTTACTTTTAGGAGGGTTTAGAATGCATTATGATATTTATTTGGGCGAAGTACAGTGTGAGTTACAGTGCTTGACTATAAGATCTACTTATTTAGTTGCTAATGCCAAAATCTACATTTACATTTAAAAATAAACGAGTGTTTCACAGTTCTGTCAGCATCAGAAGAAGTATACAAATATGAAACTGCTTGGGAGTCTGCTGCAGTAGCGATGCATTCTGGATCAGTCATTACTTAACAGATGGACTCTTATATACAACACTCAGTATTCCCACAGAAGAAAGAGAGAGGTTACATTATCTGCTAATCTTTTTCTTCTCAGTGCAGCAAATGTCTCAAATTTATGCTTGTATATTTGAAAATTTACTCACATGTAAAACAAACATTGTAGACATGGCTGATACAAGGTAAAGTTGATGGCCTATCCCTAAACTTCTGAATGTTACGTGACTACATATTAAGGATTTTAATAGTTTTTTTTTTTCTTGGTCTTTACTATGCTATTTCTGAATGACTTTTGATGCACATTTGATCACGAGTGGACAACGTTGAGAGGGGATCTCAATATCAGTTTGTGTAGTCCTTGAAATAAATGACTACACTGTTGGGCATCTGTAAGCCATTTAGTAATAGCTTTTTAGTTTTTTAATTCTATATTAGAGTATTAGAATTCTGTTATTAACAGGTAGAATCAGAAGTTAGTTTGAGATACTTCTTTGTTTTAGTTTATCTGAGATTTCTGCTGCCTTTTATGTAAAACTTGATAAAGTCTGTTCTTTCTGCACTGTTTTGTCTGAGTCTAATCTATGGTTTGGCTTGCCCCTGCCTGGGACTTTCCTGTTAAATGTTCTTCCTGAGGTCTCTCTTAGGGAGTTGTTACCATCTGATCTGATGATCCCACACAGTGATCTGTTATTGCATTTCGTAGTTATTTCACGTTACATTCTGATGTTGACAGCCGTAGTAATTTACTGTGTCTGTGAGGTGATAACATGCTTTTAGCCAGTGTTGAAAAATCTTTTTCCATGCATAATATGTTGTTGGAGTTTCAACTTTGCCACGTTTGAACAGTTGACTTTCTATCTGGACAGTGTTGTGTTCTTGTGTGTACCTACACTCTTGACAGGATTAGTTGCTATTCTTGATTCTTTCTATTTTCATAGTGACGCTTCTATTCCTCCATAACAGCTTTGTACTCTGAGTTAAATTATACTGGCGAGTTTATTTAATGGAACATCAGTCAGTAGAGTTGCTGGTATTGCTTGTATTATTCCTTGTGGTTTGCTGATACAGTAGAAGGCATAATGGAGGGAGGATTCAACCCGTGAACTAGTTGAAGTTAACTCCTTAAATTGCTAAAGCGTTAACTAGGAGGTCAGTCAGGAGTTAGCTTGAACTCCTTAGACCATCTACAAATATTAATCGCATGAAGGTCAGAAGATGATAAGTCTTCTTAGATAAGTCAGTGTATGAACTGAAGACTTCTCTGCCATCATTTTCTAGTATATTGTCTTGCTACATTGCTGGTGGGAAGCTATCGTGCCTCTTGTGTTTCTCTGTTACCGGGAGATTTTTGGTATTCTTTGTTTTATGGATTTCTGTGAATTCCCAGGTTCAGTACATTCTCTCTGAGATGTGTTGATCTTTGTGTACTACAGAGTACAGAACTGAAAAATGCTTTCTTTGTGAACTGTGTAATCCTTTAATTGTTCTTGTTGCTTTCTCTTTGGGGGGTATTTTGACACCAGCTCATGCAACTATTGATGAGGAAGCCTTTCCCCTTTAGACAGCTCTATTAGTTTTCTTAGGAAACTGTCAAGGATGTTGTTATTACTATGATGGATGTGCCCATTGTTGTTCTCCACATTTCCTTGGCTTCTTGATACTCTTTTGTACTTATGGTATTTTAAAATGAAGTTTTGTGCTGTGTACTCCAGCACATATGATGCTAGAGGTGGAGCAGAATCAGTCAGGCTGCCCACCTCTGTTCTTCTACTTCAAGTGTCTTTTTTCCACTTTTTTCCTAGTTAAGATTTTCATGTGGTTTTAGTTAATTGGTCTATAATGCATTTCCAATGGCTCTTCCTTTCATTATTTTTGACTTACTTCCTTAATTCTCTGCTTCTTCGGTATTATAATAGTCTTGGGAATGTTTTTCCTTTATTGTATATTTTTAAGTATCTCTTTTATGTCCAACTTTCTTCCAGTATGACTATGTCAGTTGCATTGTCTTTTAGCTTTGGAAAGCTTTTTTTTGTTGTTGTTGTGATTTGAATTTCACAGGATTTATTTGAGTTCTGCGGTGCTGACTCTATGACAGTAGAAGACATGTAAGTTGAACAGGAAGCCAGCTGATGCTGGAAGTTGTGACTGGTGCTGACACGCTGCTCATTTTGCCTGTGCACCTTGAACAGATGATAACGTAGGTTTGAACAGTTTTCAGATTGGTGCAGATGTAACTGACCGATGTTCTCTTTATGCAATCTGGACAACTTTGTTTCTTTACATATGTTTTGTCAGGCTGCAGAGTGCTTATGAGAAAGTAGGTCAAACACCAGGCATAGTTCAAAAAGTCTCTTGCTGTTCTTGTTGACTTCAGCCCACGCTTCTGCCTTCCTCTTCTCATTTTCTTGGCTGTTCCATCCTACTTCAGCATTAGTCACCTATCTGGAGAGGTAAGCCATTTTTTTAGAGCTTTATCACACTTCATGCTTGCAAGAATGGCGTTTGCAGCTTCAGAACAATTTGTTTGGATCATGTGAAAGATGGCTCTGGCCCTAAAGCCTTGCTGTAGTAGTGGTCATCAGGAAAAATGTGAGATGTAAGATCCTTTTTCTTTCTTTCTTCTTTTTCTTTCCTTTCATTCTTTCCTTTTTTTCTTTTTTTCTGTTTTTAAACATTGTTTGGGGGGTATCTTGAGCTAAAGCCGAGTTTTGATATCTGAGTTCTTTGAATCTACTTAAAGTCTCCTGTGGTAGAGTTCTGCTATTGTGTGGAGAGAAGAATTGCTTTTGTGCTCTGAGAAAGAGTGAGCTTTAGCCTCAATCGTGTGGCCTCTGTTTGTCCTGTAGAACTAGCTTTGCAGGCTTGAGGATCTTATTCAATTTTCTTTGTAGAAGCCTTCCGATTTCCTTATTACAGCTGTCTGGTAGTTTACAGTATTATTTTAAGAAAGTATGGGGGAATTTTCAAGGCTTTTTTGTGTTGTTTGTTTGCTTTCCCTTAAATTGCATTTGTGTTTTTAGATTTAGGGAATACTAGAACTGAGGTGTCAATTCTTGTACGAGTTGTTATCTGCCCTGTTGGTCCTTTTCCTGCCATTGCTGTCTTCATTCTAAGCTGACTTGAAGTGGCTGTAGAAGCTATCA